GGAAGTATCTCGAAAACTTCTCCAACGGCATCACTGTGGTATCCCTCTATCTTAAGCCAATGGCAGGTGCTGAAATCTCTGGGAAACACCCACCCATCGAAGCTGCTATTCACCAAATTATGAAGGAGATTTCTCTGCTCTACTGCATCCCTCAAAACAAATTTCAGGGCCACTTTGCCAGCGGCCTTCTCAGCTTACAGGAGACCATCTACGCTCACTGCGTCTGGGTGTTTGTGCAACAGTTCCTGAACCGCCTGGGTTCCGAATATACATCCCTTACCGCCATCCTCGACTCGAGCAATAGCTCCCATGCAGAACTCCTGGCAAAGATCAAGAAGAGACTCCGTACCGAAACTTTCACGTCGGACTATATCCTTGAAATCATCAACAAGTATCCCCAGCTCATCCACAAGCTTTATCTTGATTTCGCACAGACCCATTACGTTCAGATGGTGGATGGTGTCCCCGATGACTTCCTGCCAACGCTGAGTTACCTACGATTGCAAGTCGATGAACCCCTGGATCAAGAGGGACTTGACAAACTTGTCTCCAAGACAGTCGTCAGCGAGAATGACGAGATGGTCATGAACTCATTCCGCATCTTCAACAATGCAGTCCTCAAAACCAACTTCTACACCCCTACGAAAGTTGCCCTGAGCTTCCGTCTCGCAGCAGACTTCCTGCCGGAACACGAGTATCCCCAGCGCCTGTATGGAATGTTCCTGGTCATCAGCTCTGAGTTCCGTGGTTTCCACCTGCGCTTCCGTGACATCGCGCGTGGAGGTATCCGAATCGTGAAGAGTCGTGACAAGGAAGCGTACGCTATCAATGCTCGATCGCTCTTCGATGAAAATTACAACCTGGCCAATACCCAGCAGCGCAAAAATAAGGATATCCCCGAAGGAGGCGCCAAGGGCGTCATCTTGCTCGATGTCAATCACCAGAATAAAGCTAGAGTTGCGTTTGAGAAGTACATCGATAGTATCCTTGACCTTCTCTTACCACCGGCTAGTCCTGGCATCAAAGACCCCATTGTCGACTTGCACGGACAGGATGAAATCCTCTTCATGGGCCCTGATGAGAATACGGCAGATCTGGTCAACTGGGCTACAGAGCATGCTCGCAAGCGCGGTGCGCCTTGGTGGAAATCCTTCTTTACGGGCAAGAGTCCCAAGCTGGGTGGTATCCCCCACGACAGATATGGCATGACCACTCTATCTGTCCGCCAGTATGTGCTTGGCATCTACCGCAAGCTAGGCATCGAACCATCAACCGTTCGAAAGATGCAAACCGGTGGTCCGGACGGTGATTTGGGCTCCAACGAGATCCTCTTAGGTAACGAGAAATACTGCGCTATCGTTGATGGGTCCGGCGTCATTGTCGATCCGCAGGGTCTAGATCACGATGAACTAGTCAGACTGGCAAAGAAGCGTGCCATGATCGTTGAATTCAACAAATCCAAGCTGTCACCTGAGGGTTACCGTGTTCTCGTCGACGAGAGCAACGTCGTTCTACCCAGCGGCGAGGTGGTGCACAACGGCACCGTATTCCGCAATACCTTCCACTTGCGCGAAGGGCGGTCGTTTGACATGTTCGTTCCCTGCGGCGGGAGACCAGAGTCTATCGATCTTAGTAACGTGTCCAGATTGATCGAGAATGGCAAGACGACTATCCCGTACATCGTCGAGGGTGCCAACCTCTTCCTGACACAGGATAGCAAGCTCCGTCTCGAGAAAGCTGGGTGCGTGATCTTCAAAGACGCCTCCGTCAACAAGGGCGGTGTCACCTCTTCTTCGCTCGAGGTCCTCGCTTCCCTCTCCTTCGACGACAAGGGTTTCGAAGAAAACATGTGCGTGCGCGAGGATGGGACCATTCCGACTTTCTACGTCGAGTATGTGCGCGAGGTGCAGGAGATTATTCAGCGCAATGCGCGGTTGGAGTTTGAGGCTATCTGGCGCGAGCATGAGGAGACGGGGATGCCTAGGAGTATGCTTAGTGACAAGCTTAGCATTGCTATTACAAAGTTGGATGAGGAGTTGCAGAAGACGCAGTTGTGGGAGGATCGGGAGCTGAGGAAGGCTGTGCTTAGGGATGCGTTGCCTAAGCTGCTTTTGGAAAAGATTGGGTTGGAGACCATTTTGGAGAGGGTGGGTGTTTTTATATCCTTTTTTATATCTTTCTTGGCCATTGGATAAAGCTGTGTTTTATGAACGTATGTAATATTCGACTAACATGAGGTTCACCTCCAGGTCCCCATCAGTTACTTGCGCTCCATCTTCGGAAGCTACCTTGCCAGCCGCTTCGTTTACGAGTACGGCAGCAGCCCGAGCCAGTTTTCATTCTTCGATTTGTATGTATTGGGATCACCACAAACAGTGCCCAACCCTGATTCAGTTTTCTCTTAAGACCAGTAGCTAACTAACCCACCCAAAACAGCATGAGCAAGAGATCAGCGAAATTCCTAGAGGAGAAACAGAAGCAATGAATTCATACATAACGTCCAAAATTTTTACTTAAAAGGTGACGGATAAAAAACAAACAAACTGGGTTTCACAAAATAAAGAAGAAAAAAAATAGAAAAAAAATAGAGAAAGAAGGCCAGACTGCTTCTGATGTTTTTTAAACAAGTGGTGTTTTTAATTAGCTAGCTCTCTTAATTTCCCCTCTCTCCCCTTTCATGTTCATTTTTATTTCTTTTATTAAGACCTTGTACTATCTTAATTTTCTCTCTCTTTTCTTGCCTGTGCTCTAGCATCCCAATTTACCCCCTCACACTCCTTTCTTTTTTAGTATTTTGTCTGTTCCCCGGCTCCTTGGCCTATTCACCTCTAATCCCTCGCCTCCGCCGTCCGTCCCAACCCATCATATCTCAGGTTAAGTTTCGATTTTTCATTTTTCGCTCTCTTGTGTCATTGGGGAACAGCATTACAACCAAAAAGCACATGAGGATGATGATGACGATTAGCTATATGCTCTTTGCTAATGTGGTGTAGTAGTAATCCTGATAAGGAGGATGACAGTGGAGTGGATGTCTGTATACAGTTACGATGAAGTGTTAAAAACGAAAATGATGTGTTTTTAATTGTATAGACATGTCTTTTACATCTCGCTACCATTGGATATATTGATTGATTGTTCCTCTGATCTTTTTTCGTAAACAAGAGTTCTAAAATCATTCCATACTAAAAACTGCTAAAAGAGATGAGAAAACCACAACCGCATTGTTCAGTATATGCGGTGGAGCTTGAAGATACGAAATAAAGATGTTTAGAAGCTGGGAACCGAGAGTAGCATATAAAGGGGTCTTGTATTGTGTATGTGTACATGTACATGGGAGAACACCTTCTGCAGTTGAAGTGTTGGTTCAACGAGATCAGGATTAAGGAGCAAGTCACCTTCGTTTGGGCGGGGCGGAGTGGAGCGTGGCGGTGATGGGGGGGGGTCCCTTTTTGCACTATCCGAATTTTAATCAATGGAGCTAGCTGCCCTGTATCTTTACGGGCTCTGTTACTGACAAGTATGAACTTTATGTCCATTGCGAATCATTTGCACCGGGTGAGAGCTCCAAATCGTTTCCTTTCTTTAAATCCCTCTTTTATTTTCTTTCCTATTGTTTTTCTATTGTTCATGGAAATGGGCGCATATCACATAACTTAGTTAACTTAACGTAACTTTACTAATCCACTTACGGGTGAACGACTTAAATGAGCGAACACCCGAATCACCGCACCCCACCTAGCTAGATTTTAATTCAAGTTATCTACACTCAACAATCCGTAATTAAATTAAATTAAATTACACTAGGTTCAAGGCACCTTATTCTTGTATATCTGAGAGAGCCGCAATTGCCGCATCCTGATAGGGCTCATAAGTGTGGCAAGGACTCAGAGCATGGAGGAGGCTATGGAGGTTGAATGACAAGCTATTCAACAGGTTCAGTGGGTGAAATAGTAAGATATATTATAATAGACTAATAATATCTAGATGATAATCTTTCATAATCAAAACTCTTCACTCATATTATTTTTCTTCTGATCTAATCTGTCTAGAACTTTGCACTCATTTTCCAATGAAATACCCTAGAAGTTTGATACTACTCTCAATAGTTATAGAATATTGAAAGTAAGTTCAAAAAAGTTTCTAAGAAAACTAAAGCTTTCATGACAAGTGCTTAATAAGATTATAAAGATTAACTAGTTAACTAGTTAAATAGTTATATATATAGAAGTTCAGTCATATAAAGTTGAAAATAAAGTTTAATTAGATTTTAAGAATATATGAACATATTAACTTTTTTGAACACTTAACTATATCATGTGCTTTTTTTACTCATTGCATGGCAGGAGGGGGAAAAGAGCTTCTGATTAGCGGGCAGATTCACGGCTGTCAAGCCCGTAGTAAGTCATTCAGCATATATATGCATAATTTCTTAAGGCCATGGGGTTGACGTGGGGGCAGTATCCCAAACAGAAAACAACACAACGGCTGGGGGAGATGAACAAAAACCCGATTGGTCTGCTGGCACATATGTGGGTAATCAATTGACTGATTTGTATTTATTTTTGTTCTCTAGAACTCAAGCAAAAACAAAAAAACACCCATTCAAAATGATCCGGACGAGACCTTGAAAAAAGGAGACAGAGAACAGGAATGAGGAAGGTGATAAATAAGGATGAAAAAGAATCCCAACAAGTCGACAAAATATTCCACAGCCATTTCTCTCATATATCGAAATCCCCCTCAAGTCATCATAGTTGCGGTTTTCTGAAAATTATATCTTCGTTCCCTCCATCCCTTCTTAAATGATAGCGACGGGTGTTGTAGACATTTAAAAACATCTAGACATTTTTTACTAGGTTCGTATGGTTCGTAGGAGTGAGCTGTTTTCGATATACGTTTGCGGGCGGAATAGATGCGATTTACTGGGAGCAAGGGGAGGAGGAGATTTCACCGGAACTAAATATATTGGTTAGCTTCGTGTCTTTTTCCTTGAGTGCAATTTAAGATATCCGTCTCTGAGGAGACTTCGTATAGATTTGGCTTGTTCGCACAATGCGGTTGGAGCGGATGGGTTCGTTATCTATCTATATACATATACATATACATATATATATATATATATGTATGTATGTATGTATGTATGTGGGTGTGGGATAATTACCTTGATGAAGCCAATATCGGAAGCCTTCTCACGGAAGCACTGCATATCACAGAAAGAAAGAATGTTAGCAAACAAGGTTCCCAGTTCAGCACTGCCTCTCTCTCGTCTTCAAAGAGAAAAATTTCATGATCGGGAACCGTGATTTCCTTACCTGACGGCAGACAAGCAGACCATACTTGCGGATCAGACCGGCCTTGTGTGCGCAGACACGGCTACATCGAAGAAATTCCAATAGTCAGCGAACCACTCTCCAACCCCCATGTGTTTTCCATCCTGCATGTCCAATATTCCACGTTTCCGTTTCTCCGTCTGTCTTTCTTTCTTTTCAATACCATCTATTTTCCATTTCCAATTCTTCTTTTCCCCCGCCTCTTCCCCATCTTCCTCCTCCCATGGGCAGATGTTGAAGTTTATAAGATACTTACCACTGGCGGCTTCCCTTGCCATAGGTCCTGGGACGACTGTAGTAAACGGACTCGTGAGTCATCTTGGCGATCGAGCAGAAGGGATGGAAGGAGCTGGTGGGTTTGTTGGGCTCGGAATCGTCGTCGTCGTTGTCGAGGAAGTGCTTGAACTACAGCGGAGATAATATTTGTGGTTAATTTGCGGTTTCTGTGTGTCTTTCGCCGGAGGATTACTTAAGGGATTTGGCGGGCTGTGAGTGGTTGAAAAGGTCTAGCAAAGACTAAACCATTTTGGGATATCTATATATAAATATATATATCACGTGATTGTACAGTTTCATTGGGCGAAGAGGCGGGCTGCTGGCCGGGGTCAGAGCCTCAATTTTGGGGAAAGTTCGCTATGAAGATTGTACCGATTAAAATGACTAATAGTAATAAATCCATATCAGGAATATGTTAGTTGTGAGCGGACCTGTCTGTCTGTTCTTCTCTTCGGAGCTCTGCGTCTCTTGAAGGAATTAGGGTTTATGCCCTATCTTGCGGTGGAGAATTGCCTAAAACGGAAATCAGCTTGGTACCAGTGGGCCTTGTGTCGTTTTCGTTCTGCTAAATTTTCTTCGTTAAATATTCTTTGCAAAGGTTCCAGATGCTGCCGGGGGGGGGGGTTGTTTGGTGATCGCATCAACCGGGCAAATCGAGATATTCCCAGGAACGGAGTTGGAAATGCCGGCAGAATCACTTTAGTTTTGCAGCCATTATCAGAACCGTGAGGATGCTCAACCAACCCAACCGCCGTGACATGAGAAATTCCAGCCTGTGAAAAAAGATGGACATCTCTGTTGTTCTGTTGTGAGATGGCAGGGTTAACCTAGAAGCTACATAGGATTCAGGATCATGTTCATATTCATGGGAGTATTGGGCTTCTGGTATTATTGTGGTTTTTATCTTATTTTCGTTGTGACGACAGGAAGGACTTTGCCTCTCGCACTGCAACATTAGCATCCTAATCAGTGCATGGATAAGCTTTCTTCCCATCGAAACACTCCGGCTTAGTTATTTACGGAGTACAGGACCTTTGTTTCCCCGTAACAGCTGGGTTAAATCGTCTCAGTGCCTTAACTACTGTCGAAAGAGTCATTGAAGCGGGTGGTTTCATCTGGAGAAATATATAGGTTGCTCTTCCATATGCCACAAAGCGTTGCAGCCATCGGGTTAATCTCTCCCACAAAAATAGAATGAATGTCGTGGTGCATCAACCGAGAGGGTCACGGCGCTCAGTCAGACTTATCGAAGCCTGGAAGATCCCTGAATATAGGGGAACCTTTAAGCTGGAAACGCCGCCCATTTAACCGTAACGTCCTGTGTGCTGCATGCTCTCACGTCCAATGCCTTGGCTAGCCATTATTCATTGAATTCTCGACTATGCTGAGTTGTATTCAACCCAAACCCAAACGCGGGAGAAAATATGTTGGATGAAAAAGGATCCCGCTGCAAAGGGAATGGCAGCACCAACTGCAACTAAAAAGAAATCATTTTGGGAATGGATGTGAATGGAGGGGAAATATAAGTACATATTTTCCCCCCAAAAAAATACAACCGAAAAACAAATCCTCATAATTTCCTTGGTGGTCATGGGGAAGACCATGTCTCTCGGGCTTCAGTCGCTGTGCCACGGGATATTTGGTTGGAGTGTTGTTGGCTATTTTTTGTTTTTCATTATTATTAACTATTTCAAGCCCCTGAATAGCCTTGAAATGTTTCCAGCAGCTGAAACCCTTGATTGAACAGCAGCGCATTTTCTTTTCTTCCGTAAACCTCCAACCCTCTCTGCACGTTCCTCAACCCTTTCAACATCACAACACACTCTTGCTGCTCTGTATTTCTCATCCATTTCCGAGGACCTACGAGTGCGAACCTCTGGTTCATCTTCTCCTGGCAAACTTGTGACAAATCGATAGTTTATTCCACGAAATACATCAAGGTAAGAGGCGACCTTTTCCGTGCTATGATGCTTAGTCCATTGACAACTGCGCTGTTGTTTCTTTGATTGCGCTGCATCCCACCGCAAACGACATTGTTGTAACTACCTGCCTCCATCACTCCTGTAACACACTCTATGCTCATAGTCTTGCTTTTCTTTCTGTCATTTTTCACAACTTTCCTCAATTTTCTTTTGAAAGGATTGTACAAAGATTTTTTGTCGCATTTTGTAAGCTTTTCACGCGCAAAGGTATGTTGTGTTGTTGTTCCTCGTTCACCGCATATGCCACACCTGCGACCCCAGTGGCGGTGTGTGTATATTTCTTTCATTCAATTAATCTTTCTCTACAAACCTCTACTTAGTTTACCTTCCTAATTATTTCAAGACTCAGTTCTAACCAAGCATCATAGACAAAACTTCAATTTTCAATCATATAC